CATCACGTGTCCTTCTCATGTCCACGTGGGGTTCCGGACATCCTCTGAGCCCATCACGTGTCCTTCTCATGTCCACGTGGGGTTCAGGAGGGTTTTGGGACATCCTCTGAACCCTCACATGTCCTCTCCTGCCCAGGTGGTGTTCCGGAGGATCTCAGGACATCCCAGGAGGACCTCAAACCTTTCCCCGACCCTCACCTGTCCTCTCCTGCCCAGGTGGTGTTCAGGAGGATCTCAGACCGGTTCCTAACCCTCACCTGTCCTCTCCTGCCCAGGTGGTGTTCCGGAACGCTCTGGAGATCTCACACCTGTCCCTGACCCTCACCTGTCCTCTCCTTGCCCAGGTGGTTTTTAGGAGGATCCCAGGACATCCCAGGAGGATCTCACACCTATCCCCAACCCTCACATGTCCTCTCCTGCCCAGGTGGTGTTCCGGAGGATGTCAGGACATCCCAGGAGGACCTCAAACCTTTCCCTGACCCTCACCTGTCCTCTCCTGCCCAGGTGGTGTTTAGGAGGATCTCAGGACATCCCAGGATGATCCCAGGACATCCCAGGAGGATCTCACACCTCTCCCTGACCCTCACCTGTCCTCTCCTTGCCCAGGTGGTGTTCAGGACGATCTCACACCTGTCCCTGACCCTCACCTGTCCTCTCCTTGCCCAGGTGGTGTTCAGGAGGATCTCAGGACATCCCAGGAGGATCTCACACCTCTCCCTGACCCTCACCTGTCCCTCCTGCCCAGGTGGTGTTCAGGACAATCTCACACCTGTCCCCAACCCTCACCTGTCCTCTCCTGCCCAGGTGGTGTTCCGGAACGCTCTGGAGATCTCAGACCTGTCCCTCCTGCCCAGGTGGTGTTCCGGAACGCTCTGGAGATCTCAGACCTGTCCCCGACCCTCACCTGTCCTCTTCTTGCCCAGGTGGTTTTTAGGAGGATCTCACACCTGTCCCCAATCCCTCACCTGTCCTCTCCTGCCCAGGTGGTGTTCCGGAACGCTCTGGAGATCTCACACCTGTCCCCAACCCTCACCTGTCCCTCCTGCCCAGGTGGTGTTCAGGACGATCTCACACCTGTCCCCAACCCTCACCTGTCCTCTCCTTGCCCAGGTGGTGTTCCGGAATGCTCTGGAGATCCCACACCTGTCCCCGACCCTCACATGTCCTCTCCTGCCCAGGTGGTGTTCAGGAGGATCTCAGGACATCCCAGGAGGATCTCACACCTGTCCCTGACCCTCACCTGTCCTCTCCTTGCCCAGGTGGTGTTCCGGAACGCTCTGGAGATCTCAGACCTATCCCCAACCCTCACCTGTCCCTCCTGCCCAGGTGGTGTTCAGGAGGATCTCAGGACATCCCAGGAGGATCTCACACCTGTCCCCAACCCTCACCTGTCCTCTCCTTGCCCAGGTGGTGTTCCGGAATGCTCTGGAGATCCCACACCTCTCCCTGACCCTCACCTGTCCCTCCTGCCCAGGTGGTGTTCAAGAGGATCTCAGGCCATCCCAGGAGGCTCTCACACCTGTCCCCAATCCCTCACCTGTCCCTCCTGCCCAGGTGGTTTTTAGGAGGATCCCAGGACATCCCAGGAGGATCTCACACCTTTCCCTGACCCTCACCTGTCCTCTCCTGCCCAGGTGGTGTTCCGGAACGCTCTGGAGATCTCACACCTGTCCCTCCTGCCCAGGTGGTGTTCCGGAACGCTCTGGAGATCTCACACC